GAATATTACATACCCGGTATTGTCAGCATAAAGCTGTTAGTTTAAGTCAGATCCCCGTACGTGCGTTTAATGAAATCGTTGCAGGCGAATTTCACTAACGAGGCGTGTTCGTGTTCGTGTTCGAGGCAGAATTTTCTCCTTCGACGTACCAAATACTTAACGATTCCCAGGCTTCTCGAAGGAAAGTGTCAAGCCAACACGAATCTACGCAAGAGCATAGATGCTCGATGATGTTTCGACAACTGAATGTGTCCAGACGATGACGCAAATGAGAAGACGAGAACGTTCGCTTCTCTTTCGAGACAGCCACTCGAGATTCCAGATTCGGATCCGCGATCGAGCGCTCGATCGTTAGTCACCGCCTCCTCCCCCTCGCCACTTTTTTTCTCCTCTCCTCCCGGGCCTGGTCGCTTGCGATTTTCGCAACCGACAATTTCACCCGTCGACGCACGCGCGTGTAGCAAGCGGCGTGCACGCAAATCGCGCGCGCACTCGCATGATCGGGCCAGAGCCATTGTCTCCGCGCGCCGCTCGGAGAAAGTGTGACCCTAATAGCCGAGGGAATGATTAGAGGAATCGCGGCGCTCCAATCAGCACGCGCCGTCGCACCCACTCGCGCGACCGAACGCCGCAGATCGGCTCCTTTCTCTAAAACCGCGAACCTCTACTGCCGACTGCTGCCCGATTCTGCCTTCTCTCTCTCTCTCTCCCTTTTTCTTTTTTTTTTCTTTTTGCGCGCGTGAAACCCTCTCTGCGGGTTTCGGTCGCGCAACGGAAACCGGCGCCTCGGGGAATTTCTCCCGATCCTTTCTACCCCGGTTCGATCCTTTGATCGTTTTGACCAACGTGCGAATAATTTATTGGGATTTTTATACTCTGAGAAATTTCTCTCATCTCTTCCAGACTAATTATTATTTACCGCAGTGTGAGAATTTCCGGGCGTTTCGATTCCTTTGTAAATTGCAATTCGCCGATCAAAAATTGCTCCGATTTGTCTGTAAATTAGAATCTTTAATTCGTCATATTGTAAATCGTCACACTTTGGCCAAGGAATAAATCGGCATAGATATACAGGGTGAATAGAGAAAGGGATTCGTAACCTCTGTGGTAGATATTACTCGACGAAAAAAAGTCCTAACAAACGCTTGTTAGAGATGCTTGTGAAAAAGTTACAACACATCCGGGGAATCTTTGAAATTCTTTAATACGAAGGTGTCAAGCATGTATAATAAAAAAGGAAGAAGATGCTCCTGTAATCAAAAACAGAAGAAATTATATGGTAAACTACTACTTATATGTAATATGATAGTTTTCGAAACGAAATAATTCAGGAACACAAAAAATCGTTTGTAACTTTGAAACTATTTATTTTTCGATTAGAACTTTTTTTTTCACGTTTCGGCGAGTACTATCCATCCTAGAAGTTACGAACCCTTTTCTCTATTCACTCTGTATAAACGCAATGAAAAGGATCCACGGCCACAGTCTTGCGGCATTTTTATTCCAAAAATTTAACGAATAGGAAAGTGTATGTCCCCTTTCAAATGAAAGTTCTGCAAAATTTTCAAGTGCAATTTTCCAATTATAATCCTTGCAACGTACCAACGATTGACATCAATAGGATTAAGAAAACCCCAGCCGAGAAGCAAATTTCAACGATGGCCCAAATTTCTATGGAAATCGAACAGCAACGAGTTGATGGATCTTCGTTCTCGCTTGCTCCCGAAATATCGATTCTCAAGTTCGAATGTTCGGAAAAGGTCGACAATGAAGTCAGTTTCTAAGAAGCATCGCTCGCGCCGCTCCAACGTAACGGCAGTTTAGAATTAGAAAATGACCCAACGTTTTATCGACTGCGGCGCATTTTGCTCTGTTATCTGGTAATTGAGATCTGAGGCTTCGCGTCCTGGATCCGCGCGACCTAAGCGGCCACACAGCGAAAGTGACTTTCGCTATTGAAAGACCGCGCGCGACTAGCTCGCGAGAATCAGCTGAGCAATCTTGTAGCCAGGATATTGCCTCCCGATGATGAAAACGTCAGTGGACGCGCGTGGAACGTCGGTCCTTCGACGGGGGTGTGTTTCGTGTCGCAAGTACTCTCGAAGAGGAGGCTCTTGGCAGAATGCGTTCTTAATGAACCCACGTGTCTACCACTTGTCAACGGTTCGTGTATACAATGCTAGCCTGACATATATGTACACACATTGACGTATTACGTCCGCTATCTTATACATTATTATTATACATTATACTACATAATAATAATAAGTAATATATATAATATATTATTATATGTATTAACTTATACGTATTATCGTATACAATATATTATAATATCATACAATACAATATATTGTACATCATCATATTATTATATTAATTATTATACATCGATTATAATATATGGTATATTATCATATATATTATATATAGTATATAAATTACAGTAGAACAGGGAATTTCCAGCGGTATTAACATTCTTTCGTTTCCTACTTAGACTTGGAGAACCATTATCCTTACAAATTGTCATAAATATCACAGGCTAAACTATCCAAGAAAGGGGGGAAAATTCAGGCATTCCTAAAGGATTAAAACTAAGAACACTTGAATCCGTTTAAATCCGTTAAAAACGATTAAACTTTTTTTTTTTTTTT